AATACTTTTAAATAATAAAAATAATCATAAGTTATAAAATTAAAACTGTTCATATCATATTTTATCTTGTTTACAACCATTAACAAAATAATTTTACAATTATTATAACTTTTTAAATTTATAATTAATAAAAATCTGTTTTAACAGAATTATAACTTAGATAAAAAGCAACAAATCTGTAAAAAGTGATTTTTATTAAAATTATTTGTTTTTGAGTTATAAAACTTTTTATATTACATATAAATATTGAATATCTTATATTATTTCTCACTATATATAAAATAATATAATAATAAAGAATATAATTATATAATTATTTAATATATAAATCTATTTAAAATCAAATTAATTAATCTGTGAATTATATGATAACAAATCAATAATTATATTTTTATAATTAAAATTAGATTTCATCTGTCTCCAGTATTTGTTATTAATAATTTTAATAGTTGCAATCACATATCATTATGTAAACTCGCTAAATTAATTGATCATCATTTCTCGTGATGTGATTGGACAAGAGTAATTTTTTAAAGAAAACATTGCGTTAAAAAATATAAAGCGGATGAGAATCATCTCTATTTAAAAGTTTTGTTATCAAAGTTGTTGATCATCAAGTATTATTCAAACAGATAAAGCAAACAAATAATGTTATATGTTGTCATCTATATTATATTTGCTATAATATCATTTTATTAATTAACAAAGACACACTAAATTATCATCCCAAAAATAATATAAAGGATTTACATATACATTCTGCGAATAACGACAATCAACGATTATTCACAAATTGAATAAATAAATCAACAATCCATATATTGAACAATTAGGAGGAGTGCCGTTGGCTGATGACTAGCTAGACTGGCATCACAGGATTTGAATAATGATGATGCATTGGATTGGTAAAGTGAGAAGAATTTGAAGATACAGAAGTGGTTTCTTGAATCCTAGTTATCCATCCAAACTTTTCTACTAAAGTGTCAAATGCTTCCTGAAAATTTCCATTTGTGTCATTATTGTGTTGTGCAAGGCTAATTTTTTTATTTGATTAATAGTTCGATTAATAAAGCGTCGATATAAAGATGAAATGAATAATATAATAAAGATGAAACAACAACAACAATAATAATATAAATATAATATTTACTTTCTAGCCCACTCGTTAACAACCAATTGTCCGTAGATCTTGCCTTCACTCACTTTACTCGATGCACTATTGATAGCCTTTTTCCAATCATCAGCTAATTTTGATAGTAAGTCACGTTTCAATTCATTATGAAGATGGTTTTCCCAGTTGGGTAAACGTTGTGCGAAACTTGTAGCGAGATGAAGGAAAGTAAAAGTCGTTGTCGGAAATTCTTCCGGTGAGGTAAAATGAGCTGCATAATCCAATATAGCATCCTTTTTTATGAAAAAATAATGACCAATTATAAAGTGATTTTCATAATTAAAGAAATGGCATATAAGGTACATTACCTTCATTTCAATAATTGCAGGTTTAACTCTGTTGAAGCTATAATCATCTTCCTTTGGTCCCCATTTGGTATATGGAAAACTTTCTTGGACTTTCTTCTCTAGACCGTTCAAGGTAGATGTTACTGATTGAATAGTAGGTCGAGGTATGATTGAGGTAATTTCTGACTGAAGATGGGGATGTGCATCAACAATATTATTTATTAACGTCAACAATTGTGGTTTATCGAGTGTTGCTGTAAAAAATCAAAAATAATAAATTAACGAAAACTGGATTAAGATATAACATCATCATCATTATTATAATAATACCTAATAATTTATTAAATGGAAAATCTTTAAAATTGCCGGTTTTCGTTCTTTTTGCCGGGTTATAAAATTCTTTATCCATATCTTGATTTTCTCGGGGAGAGCTAGAGAGACTTCTGGAATCACTCATAGAAACATCATTGTCCTGTTCGCTTGGTTTTCGTTTACAACCGACAACTGAAAAATAAAGTTTAGATGATAAGAAACCAACCATGAAAGAATTGCGAGTGCATTTCTATCTACATGCTAAAATAAACAAAGTTACACCTTTAGAAGTTTCCGTTGACCCAGCATTATTAAAGGACCTTTCTCTATTTGTGAACCTTGAAGAAATTGACATCATTTGATGACTACTGTCATATGTTCGTAATTGTCGAAAGGCGCTATTATGTTGGAAAATATTTGTTTGGTGAGGGTTTCGTGGGACAGGAATACACGGTGAATGGTCGCTCATTGTTGTGTTTTGATTAGGTTATGTAATTATTTATTAAAAAAGAAAGTTCAAGAACGAAAGTGTATATGTGTGAGGTTGTGTGTATTTGTACAAAAATATTATATCTATGTAGAGGTGTATAAGGTGAAAAAAAACAACTTCGACAACGATGTTAAGTTAGGGAGTCAGCTTATTAAAAAATTGTAAGCCTTTTCGAAATATACACATTTCAAGTTTCCAGAAGTTCGGTAACCATGACGTCAATGCTGATCAATAGTAAAAATTACTCAATTGCCTGGTATAATAGTACTTTTGTTTTTCGTAAACTTGAAAAGTTCCTCTAGAAAATCCTTTTACCGGAACTTCGGGTTACCAAGTTATGAATGACTAAACACAAGGACGAGTCAACAAGCCGTTAGCAAGCATCTGGAAAGAGATTTCTTACAATTGCACAACAAATGATGACAAAAACTTTAGTAAGGAAATGCGGGGCTGAGACGTGAAGGGCGTCCTGAACCAGGGGCAGAGTTTCGTTCTCCGCCCTCTCATTCCCGCCCTGGCTCACCGGAACGTCATAATCACACGAGTATTGAGAATATAGTATCATATTTGACTGTTGTTTGCGTCAACTATTTCAAATAACAGGCATCTTTACTGACTTTTTCTTAAGCAAATAGAGCTTTGAATAATGATAAGAGAATGAACAAAAAGAAATGAACAATCTGAAGAAACAGAAAATAGTTCCTGTTATGTAATCCAGGCGAAATTGGACGACCTCAAAAAAAAGCCGCTGTAACGAACTTGTGACGTCTCGTCCTCTTAAGACAGGTTTGAGATGAATCATAACAAGACGAATTCATTTTTTGGGATTGATAAAATATATTTATCAAAATTAAAAATAATATAATAATTAATTATAATATAAATATTTTGTTTATTATAATATAATATTTATATATTTATTAATAATTTTATTACAAGATTTTTAATTTATCTTTAAATTAAAAGATATTAATATAATATTTTTATTTGAAAAAATTTTATATTAAGAATATATTAAATTATTTAATATCAACTTTGTCTGAATTTCTTATAATCATATAAATAAATTTATATAAATTATTTTTATTAAAAATTTAAAAAATAAAATTTTAAATTAATTTATAAGAAATATTATTGAGCTTTTTATTAAATTATTTTATTTTTTGATCTTAATAAATATAATTATAATTTCACAATTAATTAATAAAATTTAAAAAATAGAATTATAAAATAATATTTCTATATGATATAAGATAAAATGTAAAATTATATTTATTAATAAGTAACTTATTATATCCATAACAATATTTCTTATAATATATATAAATTAATATTTATTTTTTTATTAATGAATTCTAATAAATAGAAATTTGAATTTCAAATAATATTGTTTTCTAATATCAAAGAAATAATGATTTGGATTTTAAACCTTTAAGATATATAAAAATTGATAAAAGTAGTGATCTTAAATAGAAAGAAGATTGAAGGCTCATTCAATGCGAGGATTTAAGTTTGAGACTATCTTTTACCTCCATCCATTCGTGTATCATGAACTTGATCGATATTCGTGAAAGGAATTACATTTGCAATACTTGATAAAAAAACGAAACAAGTGCGCCTAAAACTATTTTTGATGATAAAAGTCAACTAGATGTGTTTTAAAATTTGTAGATGAATTAGGTATAATATTTTTCCGGGATAATAGTCCCCAGATCAGGATAAATGGTATATCATTAAAGAATTCTTGATGTGTATGCGCTATGCTTTAATTGTTATGCTCATTAAACATTTGCGATGAATATATATAATGAAGTAAAAAAATAATTAATCTTTGATTCTCATGCTAATGTTAATCTAACAATGGAAGAAATGTTCATTTTCCCTTTTCTTCATTTCTTCTCCCATCTCTGATACCAAAAATAAGACAATTATATAAAATTAATTCCAAGAAGAAAACTAATACTATTACTAAGAATCTTGATCTTTAATAATGCCGACCATCTTATGATCCCATTTCTGTCTTTCCAATACTTCAGCTGGTAAATTGGCAAATCCTCGAGACAAGAATAATCGACGTTTCTCCAAATGCTGTTGCCACATTAAATTCTGTGGCTGTAGCGTGTTACTATTATTATTATTGTTGTTGTTGCTGCTGCTGTTGTTATTAGAAGCTTCTTCACTACGAATAAATGATCCAATACTCATGAACAAGGCGAATGATCCAGCTGATGTGGCCATAAATTGACTTAATGTGTTGATGTAACCACGTGAACCTGGACCATGCCTTTTTGTATTTATTTAATAAAATATTTCATTATTAATGAAGCCAGTTACCTAACATTTATCTCCAAGTGATCATATATATATACACTTACTTAAATATAGTCCAGGTACCAAGTACCAGGCCAAGACATAATCCAACAGTTCCACCCATAATAGCACCTCTTTTAACACGTTCAATTCTTGAAGGCTCCATTTTTCAGGCTAATACGCTTTATTATAATCGCTAGTTATTATTGTACTCGTCTGATTAAAATTTATTTTTGGAGAAAAATACTAACGCTAACGCTAAATTATTTAGATATAAACAGAATTTCCCAGGAATGAGTGAGTCATCATCAATCATCCAGGCATGTGACAAAACAATATACGCACTGTGCATAATTGTTTTGTGATACACTCGTTTATTTCCCCGCTTTTTGCTTGTTGGAAGAATATCAAGAATATCATGAATTCTGTGCAGACACTTTTCTTTGGAATTCGTGAATATCTCAGTCCAGTGTTAAAGAATTCAAAGTTCAAGGAGACTGGATGCATCACTCCTGAAGAGGCAAATATAGCTTTTCTTTAATTATTCTTCTTATCGTTAAATTCTTTGGTTTATTTTACAACGAGCTTTATAAAAGAACAGTTTTGTGCCATTGGCTTTTTTTTTATAAATGATTAGTTTGTCGCTGCTGGTGACTTCTTAGTGTACAAGTGCCCGACATGGAACTGGTATTATAAAAATTTCATTCTGTTTGATATTTCACTGATTTACGTTGAATTAATTGATCGAATGATGACAATCTATAGGGAAAGTGGGGAAGTAAGTAAACGTAGAGATTATCTGCCGGTCGAAAAACAATTTCTCATTACAAGAAATGGTATGAATTCAGGATTTTTCTCTTACAGACACCAGAATGTGGATAATTAACACCAAATTTCCATAACGCCGTTATGTTTTATTTCACTAGTACCTTGTTTGAGACGTGTTAAACAAATGGAGTATATTGATGAGGATGCTGAAACCCAAGTTGAGACTGAGGATGGTGAAGAGGCATGGGTAGCGACCCATAGTGGCCGAGGTACGTGTATTACTACTATTATTATTATTATTATTATTGTTGTTGTCGTGGTTACCGCTGTTGAGAGAAGATTATTATTCCATATTAATTCCGACAATTAATAATATATTAGCTACGACAAATATTGAGGAAATTGCTCAACAAATTGAAGGAGAAGAAGATGAAGTATCGAAAAAACTGAGTAAAATCACGATAGACGATACAAATGACAAGGATGATGATGACATTCCAGATATTGAAGATATTCCGGACATAGACGAGGTGGAAGAAGGGCTAGAGGAAGATGAAGACCCGGTATTTGTTTTTTATACTCTATGATTTTTTGGTCTATTTCATTTAGATTATGTGATATGAATTTTTTTTTTCTTTGAGATAGTCAGCGTTACCAGCAAATAACAATGAAGATGCACCAAGGTAAAATTTTCTATTTTCTTTCAATTTGTGCATTTGTTAATGTTTATATTATTATTTTTAGTGATAAGATTCTCCAAGTGCGCACTTATGACGTGTTCATCACATATGATAAATATTATCAAACGCCACGAATGTGGTTATATGGATACGATGAGGTTAGTAGTAACGATTCATTATTTAATAGTCTACACTTTTTTATCTGACACGCCGAATCCTTTATTAGCATCGTCGACCATTGACATCAGTTCAAATATTCGAAGATATTTCTCAAGACTATGCAAAGAAAACAGTAACAATCGAAACACACCCTCATTTAAACATGTCACTAGCCAGCATTCATCCATGTCGTCATGCTCAGGTCATGAAAAAAATTATTGAGAAAATGAATGAAGAAACCGTGAAAAAATTCGAATCATTGCAACAGCTGCAATTAGAGCAACAACAACAATCGGGTGGTGTTGTCACTACAACTGTTACCTCCAATGCACCACAGGCAGAACAGTCACAAGTTAGAGTTGATCAGTGAGTATAACAAATAAAATTATTATTCTTTTTAATTTCAGTGCTGATTTTAATGGATTATTAATTAATTCTTTTCATTCGAAAATCATTTTATCGATAGATATCTCATTATCTTCTTAAAGTTCATGTCGTCCGTGGTTCCTACCATAGATTATGATCACACAATCAGTGCATAATTTAACGCGCGTCATTGGAAACAATTAAATAATCAAGCACCAACAAACAAGTTTTTATTAATGCAAATTAAATATAAACTTTACTAGAAATTCATTGTCCTCTATTTATTGCTTTTTTTTTTATAATAAAATACAAATAGATGTTTGTAGTAGATATATATATATATATATATATATATATATAATATAGTGTTTGTTATTCTAACGTTTGCATAATAAAACAATTATGTCAATAATATAAAATACTTGCAAAACATAGCCTATGCTAAATTAAGGACCAGGTACCCAAAATGGTCCCTAACCAAGAATGATGCGCATCATAGGATACAATGCATAAAAAATACGGGTCCAAGAAACAATGGATCACAAAGATACATTATTCGACCCACAAAAGGTAACTTTTAAATATGTATTAAGTTAAAACTTGTCAACTTTAAATTAATATTCATTCTTCGCATGTGACAGCTATTACAACAACTTCTACTATTATTATTTATTATTATTTATTATTATTTTTTTATTATTATTATTATTATTATTATTATTATTATTATTATTATTATTATTATTATTATTATTATTATTATTATTATTATATAATGAAGATATCAACGTTTATTCGTGCTCGACTACTTTTGTGACTTTACCAATAGCAATCGTTTTTCCTACAAGTTTAACAAAGTGTTATTATTAATCAAATAAAATCGCGCAGTAATAAAATATTTATATTATAAACCTTCGTCTCGGAGTGTAAATCTTCCAAGTTGGGGAAAAATTTCATAAGATTCCACACAAATTGGTGCAACCGACTCTAACCGTGCAATTACTTTCTGTCCTTTCTTTACGTATTGTGGAGGACGTTTGGATCTCCTTGCGGTTTTCTTATCTAATAAATGCAGTAAAGCCTTTTTGCCAATCAATGAAAGAATTAATTTTTTGTTATTTTTTATTTCGTTACACAAAAAAATGTCATACCGCCACTGAAACTTCTTCAACACAAGTGTGCACGTGCAAAACTGCACTATATCCCGCGCAAAGAATATTCTTGTGTTCTAGAATGGCAAGTTGTGCTTCGAAAGCAGTGGCTGTTTTAACCGGCCTTTCTGTTGAGCACACAACAAATCCGGTAGAAATATCCTGATGATTGAAATTATCCATATGTCAATATATTTAATATTTCAATAGATGAAATGTGGTACTACAATACAAACCTCTTCTTCAATACCCCGAATTCTCAATCGTACATTATCACCGCATATCCCTACTTTAATTTCCTCTTCCACTTCATTATAGACCGCTGATACTTCAACATTTCGCTAAATTATTATTATCAAAAAAGATTACTAAAAAAGGATATAACGAATTCCAAATTGAAACAATAAAATTGATAATTACTCTATTGGGCATTATTAAAACCATTTGTCCTTTTCTAACTTTCCCCGATTCTACTTTACCGACCACCACCGTTCCCATATCCTGCGTTGATGAATGAGCAATAAGAAAGAGAGTAACAAACATACCAAAAAATCATTTCTTTTTGGGGATTCATACTTGCCTTATACTTTTCGATAATCGGTATCATTAATGGCGCGTCGATTTTTCTATCCAACGCTTGCATATTATCCAAATATTCCAATAATGAAGGACCACTTTAGATGGTTTTGTAAACAAGTAATTAAGTATTATATCAATGATGATTAATTCACTTAATAGTTATTAAATTTATTAAAAGGAAATTATTATTACCTGTACCAGGAGCAAATTTCTTTAGGAACGCGTTCTTTTAAATTAAGTCCTGTGTATCCAGAAACAGGCATGAACTGAACATCTATAAACAAAGCGAAATTGTTAATCAATAAATCAAGCAAGCAGTGTATTATTATAAATAAAAAGGACATGCCTGTAGTAGGATTGTATCCACTCCCTTTAAGAAATGGGGTGATTTTGGTGACACATTCATCATATCTTTAATAAATAATATTGTCTTCAATGCATGAATGAATTATTAAATCATATCTGAGGTTTATTAAATAAATTATTGTTTACCTGCCTTTAGACCAACAAACGGTGGCATCATCCATTTTATTAATAACCACTATGAGTTTACTCACACCCAAAGTTCTGACCAGCAAAGCGTGTTCACGAGTTTGACCTCCTCTTTCAAATCCTGTTTCGAATTCACCTTTACGAGCGGAGATCACCTTTGTGGAAATAATATCAAAATTTAAGGCATGTAAATAATCGTTTTATACAAGAGTATTATGTGCATAATTAAGTTGATCACCTACCAAGACTGCTATATCGGCTTGGGAAGCTCCTCCTATCATACTTGGAACATAATTTTTGTGGCCAGGAGCATCGAGAATTGTGTATCGACGCTTTTCCGTCTCGAAATAAGCTCTACCGCATTCCACTGTTTTTCCCTTTTTTTTTTTTTAAATACGCGTATATTTTTAGCGGGAATAAGATAATAGAATAAAAAGAAACAGGCAATAAGATGATTTACTTTGGCACGTTCTTCCTTGTTAGTATCAAGGGCCCAGGAAAGGTACCAAGACTCTCGTCCTTGATCTTTAGCTTCTCTCTCATACTTTTCCATAGTTCTTTGATCCACCATTCCCGTTAAAAATCTTGATCATAGGATTTAAACAGGTAAAATAAAGTATTTAATATAGTTAAAGATGAAAATAAGATAAGACAAATACTTACAACAAATTACCACCCATCGTCGACTTTCCAGCATCTAAAAATAAATAAATTCCAGATGTATTATTTAAACATGCTTGCGGAGAAAGATAGTCATTAACATACGAACCTACGTGACCAATGAACACAACATTCAAATGTTCTTTGCCATAAAGATCCTCTATTATTTCAGCATCAACGTGTTCGTCTTGTTCTGTTGTCTCTGTTGTTTCTGTTATTTGTGCAGTAGAGGTGGAAACGGTGGTGCTAGAAGACACGGTTTTCTTTCCCGTCTCTTTTTTAGCCATTGGTGCGGGATTAGCGGCAGGATTTGGCGGCGTCGGAGTATTTTCCACAGGTATGTCAGCCAAGTTCTCTGATTCACTTTTCTCTACTACTGGCTCGGAGGGAGTTTGAGCCGGTTGAGGAAGCCAACTTGGAATAAACTCTTTAGCAAAGACATTTGGTTTAAATTCTGCAGCATTAACATTTAAGCTAATTTTTGATGTTTTCTGAGCAAGTGTATTTTCGGCCGCATCCTCAGCCTCTTCCCATGTCTTATGTGTTAGAATGTCGTCCATTTTTCGTTGGTGGTCGTAAGAATCGAAGGAAAAAAAATTGGGTATAGATATTTATATTTGACTATAAATCAGATATATCAGATCGGACTTTTTTTTTGAAATTTCAAAAAATGTCATCGCATCATACATTCATGAAATTAGAATTAAATGTACCTCTTATCATGGATGGAGGCATGGCAACTGAACTTCAATCCACCCATGGAAAGACCATTTCTACGCATTTGTATTCCTCCGAATACTTGTATAAAGATCCTAATGCAATACGTACTGTACACCTTTCTTACCTTCGTGCTGGAGCTGATATATGTTTAACTTGTAGGTAGGTAATTAATTACAAATAAAATGCATGCAAAATATTTGGAATAAAAAAAAAAGTGAAATAGAATGGAATAAAAAGAAAAATATGTTAGGTTTCGTTTTCCCAATATCCTTTCTGACACTATTGTAGTTATCAAGCATGGGTTGCCGGATTCATAAAAATTGGGTTCAGCGAAGATCAAGCGAAAGGATTAATGATAAGATCGATACAATTGGCAATCGAAGCAAGAGACACTTTTTGGTCAGAATATCTTGCAAATAATGACGACGTCAACGATACTAAAAAAAGAATAAAACCATTAATCGCACTATCAATCGGGCCTTATGGTGCAACACTAGCAAATGGATCAGAATATACAGGCGACTACGGAACCACGTCAGATGAAGAATTAGCAGAGTTTCATGAATCGCGTCTTCGAGTCTATCAATCGGAATTTTCGCGTATCGATTTTATTGCTTTTGAGACAGTGCCATCTTTACGCGAAGCGAAAGTTATTTGTCAGGTTCTATCAAATATGGGAGAGGATGAATTATTACCCCCATGTTGGATTTCTTTTTCATGTAAGGATGAAACACGCGTCTCACACGGTGAATCGATAAGAGAATGCGTGGAAGCAATATGTGGTAATAAAGCGAATTCATTAGTATTCGGCATCGGAGTCAATTGCACACATCCAAAATTTATTGCACAGTTAATGCAAAATTTTCGTCAAACTATGGATTCGTTTAATGATAAAAAATGGGTTATTTGTTATCCGAATGCAGGAAATGAGGTGGATCCGGTTGCTAAGGATTGGGATTCAAATAATGGCGTAAGTGCAGATGTGTTTGCTGAGTATGCAAGCAAATGGGTTAAAAATGATAATAAAATAATAATTGGTGGTTGTTGCAAGACTACGCCGGAATTTATTGAAAAAATTAGAAATAAAATCTTAGTACAATCTAACATTTGCCTCTGATAAATATAAATATATAATTAATTATATGAGATATTTAATCACAGATTTTAATATGCACTTCTTTAACAATTACTATGCTATATTACATGGAACACAGAATATAAACAAATAACGATAATTGAACTCTACAAGTATATAAATAATATACAATTCATTGATTCGTTAATTTATCAACTTATACTTCAATTGTCCTTACATCTGGATCCGTTTCGGTATCCTGATCCTGCTTTTGATTATGATTTTGATTTTGATTTTCTTGCACATTTTGTAGTTCCTCATCATCATCACTATCAGGTTTCTTTGTAGCATTTTTCTTGAGTCTGTTTGCCGCTTGTACAACTTCCACCGCTCTTCTAAATGTTCTACGAGCATTAAAGTTCTCGACAAAGTCACTCAGTAAGTCAATGTCCATTGCCGTTTTACCCGTAAGCCATTTGTGTTTTAGCGCTTGCTCTGCGGTTGGCCGTTTTTTCGGGTCGTAATTTAGTAGGTGGACAATAAAATCTTTGGCTTGATATTTAGAAAAAAAGAAATAAGTATCAGGATCATTCGTTGGTTAATATTCTATGAAGAATATGTTGGATAATAATACCATCCGATGAAATGTTTCTCCAATAACGATCGTGAAACTCTACGCGTAAGCCATTTCTTTCCTCGGTTGTGGCAAATCGATCCTCATTACGAGGCGGTGCATAACCACATAATCTATATTCATTTGAGAAAATTAGATCGAGAATTTAATTCCATACGCATAAAGCTCATCTAATCAACATTTAACATGCTTACAGCGCATATGTAATAACCCTATGTAAATGAGGTCAATGTAATTATTAATTAAGAAAATTATAAGAATTACTAGAAAAAAAAAGGCTCATTTCAAATACCCGATACTCCAAAGATCCACAGATTTATTATATCCAACTCGATTCAAAATTTCTGGTGCTATTACAAGAATCATATGTATTAAATTACTATTCTATTGGTGACATGCTAAGATGATTGAGGTCGTAAGAAACAAAATTTACCGACGTAACCAGGTGAACCACAATAAGTAGTTAGAATATCATCGTCATCTTTCATGACTTTTGCAATTCTAAACATTTAGTAAAAAATGAATTACTACATTTTTAAATTGATTGATATTATCATTTGCTTCATTTATCAATTACCCGAAATCAGCAAGTACAAGAGCGGAATCAGATGCTCGACTCTTATATAATAAATTCTCTGGTTTTAAATCTAACAACATAATAAAGAATATTTCAAAAATGTCATTGAATCGTAAATAACAATCAATACATAAATAATTACCACGATGTACGATATGATTCGCGTGAAGATATGCTACTGCCGTAAGTACTGTTTTTATAACTTCTACAGCATCAGCTTCGGTAAATTTTCCGCGATCACACATACGATCAAATAATTCACCACCTGTTGCGCTTTTTTTTATTAAGTCAATGTTAAGTAGATTATATAAGAAATGCGCGACCAATTAATGGAACATTCAATAAAAGAAATAATAAATCGTCGAAAAAAGGATACAGTTCAAATACAAGGTAAAATTTATCTCTCGACTCGAACCAATCATAAAATTTTACTATATTAGGATGATCTAATTTTTCCAACACTTGCATTTCCTTGTATACCATTTCCTCTTGATACTTTACATCACGCTTTTGAATTATTTTGATGGCGACCTTTTCGCCTGTTTTAATCACCACGGCTTCCTTAACTGACCCATAAGTTCCTGCGCCTAATTTTTAGATTTGTTCAAGTTTAATGAATATTATTGACAAAGTCTCGTTTAGTCTCGTTTCGTAAAAAAAATAATAGTTCAATGAATACGAATAAAAATACCTAGAGTTTTTCCTAGCCTATATTTTCTCTATTCAATTTACTTAATATTATTACATTCTTTATACTAAAATCTACATAAAATCGAAATAAAGATGTTCAATATAGAAAAATGTATACCTTTTTTTCGTAAGAAGCAGGTTGCGGTTCTCGATGAAGTGCGTGGTCTATTAAATTGCCTAGATTCATGGTTGTAAGAGATTAAATCGCGAAATTTTGTATTAGCGTTAGCGTTAGAGGTTCAGTTTAACAACCCGTTTATAGGATGTGGCTAGTCAAATCACGTGGAAGTGGCTTAACCACATTGCATGTAATTGATCTAACCGACTTGGATTTCTTTATCATAACAACACGAAAAATAATGCTAATCTTCTTGAGTACTTCATTTTGAAATCCAATCTCTCAAAATCCAATGATCCAATTTAAATGAAAATATTCTATTGAATTTGTCCTAATTTCACAAATTCAATGAAGTATTTTCAAATTATTGGATTTTGAAAGATTGGATTTCAAAATGATATTTTCATTTTGTTATTTCTAGTATAGTCCGGTACAAAAATGTAGATACACAAACATACTATATATAAATTTTTTTTAAAAGTAAAGTATTTATAATTTTAATTATTTAGATATAATTATATGCTATTT